GTTATAGTTGGGTGACCGACTATCCCCTGAGCCTGAGGCTTCCCAGTAGGGCAGAATCCAGCCAGGAAAGGAGGAAAGCCCCAGGAAAAATTCCTACACTACACTACAAGGCACAACAATGGCTTCAAAGTTAAGTGTAAACAAGTTGCTTTGAGCCCTGAAAGAGGAAATAACCAATTCTAAGACGAAGGAGGACGCTTTATAAAAGAATTTGCATTTGAGTAGGAACTCAGCAAAGAGGGAAGGGCCCACGCAGGGAAAACACAGTTGCAAAGTCACAGAGGTAAAACAGTATCTGAAAATGTTGCAGAAATACCAATTAAGAAGATTATGGGCGTGAGGATTGGGAAAGCGGGAGCAACAAGGCTGGAAATTACACCACGCAAGTTTGCGACGGTGCTTTGGAAATAGTAATTATATCATACTTGCTCTGTTGTGATCTGTTCGATGCATTAGAATTTAAACAGGCAAACTATTAGGAGCTGTTGCAAGAGATGCGGAAAGTGAACAGGCTCCATCTTGAGAACAAAGTCTCTCTTGGTGGAACAGGAAAAAAAAAACGCAGTTGTTCAAGGTTATTTTAAAGAGACCATTTGGAGGACTGAATAACTGATTCATTGTGGCAACCGGAAGAAGAGGAAATAAGAACATTTTCAAGATTTCCACAAGACCTGTGGATGGTGATCATGTTGTTAAAAGGATTGGGGAACCCCAGAGGAAGAACATTTCTTTTTGGTGAGGAAGCTAAGATAATAAACTCAGTTTTGAGTTGTTTGCGTTTGGGGGCCTAACCTAGAGATCACTGTGAAACAAACCATCCTACAACTCTTTATTATTTCTCAGGAGTTAATGTCAGCTGGGCTCAGCTGCAAGGTGCTGGTTGAAATAGCAGTGAGGGCTGAAGGTAAAGGTTGGCCCGCTTGGGCTTCTGTCAACTCAGTAAGGCGGTCTCAAGGTAGCTGTCCTTTTATGACGCCTGGCTTCTAAGAGGCCAACAGCAGAAGCTAGAAAGCCAACAACAGAAAGGCTAGGTCTCTCGACTGGGCGTTGCAGTGCTTGCATAACATTACCTTACACCTTCCTGTCTAAGTGTCTCATGCCAGCCGGGCTGGGGCGGCGGGGGGCAGGGAGGAAAGGCCCCAGGTGTCAATGGGTGCAGTCAACAAAGGTGCAGCCCTCTCTACCCTGCCACAGTGCTTGTAGAAGGCACATGTGGAGATGCACTGGGGGACCAGAGTGAACCGCAGTCTGGCTCTCCAGAAAGAAATCAGAACTGGAAACGGGTGGAGGAGTTTTCTGAGGGAAAGTTAGCAGTGGAAATCCTAACAGTGGATGAGAAGTTCAGGGAGTTGAGAATGGAAGAGGTCTACATTCAAGAGAGGCGTTTTGGGGAGAAGCCAACAAACGTGAAACTCTACCAGCCAATCAAGAGGACACGGGAAGACTGATGTTCCTAGCAACTGCTCAGGACAAGACAGGGGAGGTGAGGGGACCGGGCTGGGGACTGACTGCAGGGCTGGCAGGGAAGGAGGTGCTAGGAAGGCAGAGTGGGCGCCGGCGCCCCCTGCCGGATGGTGGTTGGCGGCTAGAGCCTTCAGTCCAATTTGCCAGTTTTCCAGGCGTGGGGAGGGGTCCAGCAGCCGGGAAAGAAGAGAGGGACAAAGGGAGGACTGGACGGTGGCCTGTGGGGGGCACCTTTGGCTCCTGGAAGGGGGATGAGACGGGAAGAAGCAAGTAGACAAGGGTGTGTAGAGGGAGGTGTTTGGGGAGGCGCCAGCGCTCCAGTACGTCTGGGTGTTCCCTGTGAAGATGGAAGTAGAACCAGGAATTTCTTCCTCCTCAGAACATCTACAGGACAGTTTTTCAATGTCAGTTATGGGTGCACAAAACTGAAGTTCAAAAGAACTGGCAATGAGAAAACAAGGGGTTGAAAAAGCCAGGTTTTGTCTATCCATTTGCTTTATCATTTTCCCTCATTATTTTGGTTTTAATTGTGCATTAATCAAGTGAATTGAAAAGGCGATGTCATAAAGATAAACAGTTTAAAGCCGGAGGGTCCAGTCACATGCTCACTAACTTTTGGAAAAATGGGACTAGCTATATTAAATGATAGTTAAATGTGTCTTTATCTTGTGATACGTAGATGGTAATAGGCTCTTTTTCCATCCTTTTTTTTTCCATGTAAATTTCTGTTTTTAGGAAAACTGGTTAATTGTATGACAATTTGAACATTATATCTAGGTATATATACAGAGTTACTTTCAGTTAGTGCTTGTCCTACAGAGAGACAAAAATCCTTTGACAGAAAAATACTATGAATTAAGAGTTGAGTAATTCATCCTAAATAATTTACTCAACCAAGTCAAAGACTATCGTGAAGAGAAAAGGCCAGATAAACCAGCCTTTTGTAACCTAGGTTAATATTACAGTGTCTTATGTACCATGGATGAAGCATGCCTCCTGGTAGCGAAAATAGACAAAAGGTTACTATCTTGGCCTGTAAAAGCAAGATTTTAATTTTTGTGTCTTCATTATGTCTTGCCTTTAATAGAACAAGGGGGAAAAAAAAGATGCATGATGAATGGAATTTACAAATATTGTGTTTGCTCACAAAGAGAGGAAATATGTCTCCCATTTTTGTGTCATTGTGCCTGGCGTAGAAGCTCTTGGAAGGATGGAGAGTGAATAAATGAAGCATGGGTATTGAAATCAGCTTTATTTGGATATAACCTGGAAAATTATAAAGCAAAATTATAAATCAGGATGTAGGTGTTACAGTGAATCTACTATATAAATATCCATCCCAGATACTGTATTGTATACAATAATTGTGCAAGCTCAAAAACTTACACACATATAGAATGGGTGGCTGGGCAACCCCAGCTTCTGAAGTAGTTAAAAAATGTTACTAAATGTATCAAAAATATTTTCTAGTATTTCTACTGGTAGAAAAACATAGACATGAAAGATTTGGATATATTTCATATTAATCTTTGCTATAAGCAGATGGCTTTGGATGCATATCTGGATGCTTATGCATGAAGTCTACATCCTTTCTTCCATATGCATATATCCATGCATATCTGGATGCATATCCATGGATGCATATCCATGAAGTCAGCATCCCTTCTCCCACTTCGCTTTAGAGAAAACAAGTCAAGCTGGTGGTGTGGTGGAAAATAAGCGGTGATTCCTACTTGAAAACTGTTAGAAGATATCTAGAGTTCTACCATTTAGCTCCAATCACAATACTGAGAAAAATATATTAAGATAAGTTAGCTATTTTGAGAGTACGTTACTTAATCCAAAAGTAAATAATTTAGAAATAGAACATTTCATTCCATGCTTAAAATCCTCCATTGGAATAGGTAACCCATTTGATTTTATTCAGTGGAACAGATTTATGATCTCTGGAGTTTGGAGTTTGGAGTAGTCTATGTAGGCTAATAATTTCACTTCCATGATTTGGAGTTCTCCCTAATAAGGCTGTAAACTGTCTGCTGAGGCTACTCTAATTTTGCATATAGTGTCTAGCTTCTGTTTTTATCTTTGCATGAAGGGGAGGGGGACAATGTCTCCAAAGACTTTGAATCTCTATTAAATAATGGATACAAAAATTCTAACCACTAGGGGTGTGTGTGTGTGTGTGTGTGTTTCCGTGTGTTACATATGCATATGTGTATATACATATGTATACATATACATATACATATACATATATATGTACATATATATTCTAGCTGTGGTCTTGTTTTTTAACTTGGGAAACAAAAGAGATGATAAGGAGGAAAATGAGACAAAGCCACACAAACTGAGCCTTAGAGAGGCTAAGGGGCTAAGCTATTTATTCATCAGACTGGCAGAAACTGCCAGGACCAAGGCAAACTCACCCACATTTAAAAGCGATGCAAACCCCCAGGGACCCTGAGTCAAGCTCTCCACACATCATATCCATTAGCACGTGATGAATAAGAAGGAAGCCTAGGTTGGCACACATTATCTTAAAAGTGCTGTTTACCAGCAAATATTTAATATATATGTACACATGTATCTGAAATTATCCTAATGAAATGCCCATCATGTATTTGATGGCTAAAGTGACCTTGAATGTTAGCAGTGTCATTTGCTACTACCAATAGTAGTATCAATACTTCTTCAATGATAAACGGTGAAGGGAAAAACTTAAAGAACGATAAATTAAGTATTTTTATGCTGCCTGCATCCTGTAATATTACGTCAAGTGTTTGAACAAAATACAGAACAGTCACGGGGTCGTGCAGGGGACTGCTCATTCCAAGAACCCTTTATCCCCCATCAAGGTTAAAACTTCAATGAGTTTCCATTGGCTGAGTGATTGCATAAATTAATGCTATTCAGAACAGCTTTAACTTGCACAGCTGACTTGGGAAATGTGTGACTAAGCTCCTAAATTGGCATCGAAGGCACATTTGCGGGAGTTGCCGAAACTCCGCACTACTTACTGCCTTTCATCCCCCCTCACTTCCTCCCATTATCATTATCACTTTCATCACAGGCAGCTGAAGTTTCTCCTTCAAAATCAAAAGCCCTTGGAGAACAATCCTGCCTTCAAGCTAGGGGCCGCTGAAAATGTGTTGTCTCTTTCATTTACATTTTGATTAAGTGAAAGTCTCTTAATTTGGGCCATTATCGATACATAAATCTGTAGAGAAAATGAACATGCATTTATAATGCGACCAACATGACATGATTTACTGTTCTTCTAAGGTGTAAATACAGAAGGAAAAAAAAAAAAAAAGTCCAGCTCTTAGGTCCCCTGGACGTGTACACGGCCAGAGACTAACGGGGTGACTCACGTCCTCTGGGAAGGCCCCGCGTGCTTCATCTCGTCATCATTCCAACTGCACTAGGTCTCCAATTTTAAAACCATCATACATAAACCTGTCTACTCTACTTGACCGATCTTCCTGTGGGAAGGTTTGTGAGTGGTAAAATGAAAGGCTCAAAATGGGTTTCCATACCTGATTGTGGACTTTGTTTGGGGATTTTGGCTACCGCTTGAGGGCTGGAGGTGGAGTGCATTCGCTGGTTGCCAGAGCTGTGGATGCTGCTGGGAATGGCCACTGAGACATTCTTGCGAGGCTTCATATCCTGCAGCCACATGGGCGAGGCTTCGAAGGCCTGCATCCTCCTAGCATGGCTGTTGGCATTGACTTTCAAGTAGGCCTGGGCTTTGTGTTCCTGCAGCTCTCCGTAATTAGCGTCTGTCACCCTGCATTCATACAAGCCTTCATCCTTTTTCCTCACTTTGGAAATCTGAAGCTTGTGAGAGATGTCATTGCCTTGGACTTTCACTGTCTGAAAAATTGCAGGTGGAAAAAAAAAAAAGTGCTACATCAAATGATTTTGTTCCCATACGTGCTCCTAAGCTTGCTAATGTTGGAAAATGAAAGGGTCTTAATAGCCTCGTAGCCACGGTCAGAGAGCTATTTATTTTCTCAACAGTCAAATACGAAGGTCGTATTTATCCCATTGCACTAACAACTGGCTTCACAAAATCATGGGGTAATTAGTTCAATCCGGCCAGCGCCAGAGTCTCTCAGCCGTGTGGTCCCCAGATCCTAGGTTCCAGGTCTGCCATTTTCCAACCATGGGATTGACCTCGGCCTGGTTGGCTCCGTTGAACGAAACACGGACATAATAAGGTAAAGGATATAGTTTGCACCGCCTCTTGTCATCACTTCAGGCTACAACTCTGAGAGATCACAAAACTATGTTGTTGGGGACACCAGGGTTTAAGTGAGAATGTGTTTTTATCCCCACATTGGGGATGCCTTACTAAAGGTAGTGACACAAGGCTTGAATATTAAGTATTCTTCTCAAATGTTTGGTGCAGGCTTACCAACAGTCATGGGGTGGCATGACTTGGGGTGCAGATTAATATCACCTGGTCTTATGGGCAGAGTACATACTTCCGGCAATGATAGGGTTTTTATGCTACTGGAACTGGAGAGGCCATCAATCAGACGCTGGTTTGATTTTCAAGAGTGAAACCGGCTTTCTTATTTCTTCTAATAATTTTGATGCCAGACTAACAGCAAAATTATATATAATTGTAATATGTAAGATTATATATAATTTTATATTATGTCGAATCTACATATACACATAGATATCCATAAGCGTCTTTATCAGAACAGCTAGATTTTATATACATCATCTATTATCCATGATTGACCGGATGATGGATTTCATAAGACACCCAGGATTTAAGGCCTTGGATGATTTTGAAAGGCAGGGAAAAGAAGTGAAGAAGGCATACACTTTCAAATGCCCCAAGTAATTAAGAAAACTTGGGGAGCGCTCATCTGTTTTTACCTACAGAGTTGTATACAGTTTCCAACAGTTGAACCATAACCATAGTATGTATTTATTTGTATGCAAAATTACTTATAAATATACTAATACTATAAAAATAATGGGGACTAATCGTTTCAAATATAGTCAGTTGAGTCTCCTAATAAAGTTTGAAATAGTTGGAGTACTTATATGATTATTGTTTTACAGTAAACTGAGATTTGGGGGTTTGGATCCGTGATTCTCAGCACTGATTGCACATTAGAATCCTCTAGGGAGCTGTGAGAAAATGGTCTCATTTGGATTAATGTGGAAACATTAAGTCTGCATCTCCAAGAGGTGAAGCTATCACAATGTTTCGTAAAAGAATACCTGAGAATTCTAAGTTAACAACCGCTGGTTTAAGACACATGACATGACCAAGGTCACCTTGTAGGTAAACTGGGAACCAACTGGTTTCTACCTCAGTTTATAACGAGAATTTTTTGCTGATTCACTAGATTTTATTAACCTTTGGCATAGATAATACTGTTAGTCGCAGTATGTAGTAGCTGTGTGCATGACCGTGTTTCTTAACTGCATGCTTCCTTAGTTCAGGATGTGGGAAGCTATTTTCCTTACCGCTTTTTGGAAGATACAGGCGTGGGTGAAGGGTGAAACCTGACTAGTCAGTGAACAATCCAGCCACATATATATGTATATAAAATGAAATACTTAAGAAAAGTATTGTCAATAATTAATTTTACCCGTGAGCCTTTCTAGCATCGTGTGAAAACAAGAATTGTGTGATAGCATAATAATTGAATTAAAATATTCTAAAGTCGGTAAGTTTATGAACGTAAATTGTAGTTTTTGGTTTATGTCTTATTTTTGTTTGATATTTGCTTCCATGTTTAGATTATACATTTACATTTATTTTATAAAATATTAGTTTCATATTATAAAATTATAGAATATATAAAATATTATGTATTTTTATAAAATACATGTATTTTATAATTTACATATATCAGTGTTTTATAAAAGAATTCCTAAACACATATATACGCTAAGGAGGCCTTGTACTTCTTGATTATACAACTATTTCATTTGTAGTAATGGAATCTTCTTTATTATTTATGAATGAGCTAGGCAGTTCTGTCAATATAAAGTGATTGTAGGAGGTTTCAATTGTGGTGTAGTAAAAAGATACAATTTTCTTTTTATTTCTAATTTCACATAGAGTTATTAAAAGTAATAATCAGGACAGTCGAAATACATCTCGATATTTTCAATAGGTCAACCTCCTCCACTGTGTTTTATATTTATATTGGCTTTGGCTTTATATGATTTTGAGCACTGCATTAGAAATACATGGCATGCATTATGAATCACATTGAAAATTGAGTGTTTTCAAGACAATTTCAACATCCCGTTGGATGCTTTAATTTTTTCCTGCCTAGGAAGATTTTCATAAGTTAGTGTTTTACTTCCTATTAAAGGATAATTCTTTCTATGATTTTGAATGAAGATTAGCATTGCAGCGCTACAGGCTTACAACTATTTATTTAACTGTTAAAAAAGAGTGAGAAAAAAAGCGTCACACTCTTTGGCCGGCAAAATGAGTCTTTAGTAATTGTTTAAATACTTAGGATAGTAAAGTAAATAATTTTATTGTGTCATCTTTAAATCGGCTTCAATTTTTTTGGGACCCAGTGAAATAAGAAAGGGAAGACTGGTTCTCGCCCTGCGTTCGTGACATTGCCGTTCTCGGGGACAACTAGTTAAAAGGCTTTTTAAAAAACCTAAAATTCACTCATTTTCACCTGGGGCCTGCCTGGCAGCTGACAAAGGCACGCGCCCCCTGTCGCCTGTCGCTGTGATACTCACGCTGATCTTGGTCCCGTCGTTGTCCGGGTCTCGGTCGGGCACCAGCTCCACCTGCGGGAGAAGGAGACGGCGCTCAGACTCGGGACCCCCACGGTCCCCATCCGGTCCCGGGGGCGGCCGCGTCGAGCCTGCCCGACGAGCCCCGAGCGGGGGCGGTAGGACTGTCTCCGGTGGGGTGATTCAGAAAAGAGACCGACG